AATATTATCTTCTACAATGTTCATAATTTACATCCTCGACCTCACCATCATTACCATACCACATCATTATTTTAATTATAATAATTTTATTAACCTTTATTTAAATAGAACTACCATGTCATATTATATGCATCCTGTCGACTCATTACTAAATGTAATCATAATGAATCTTCACGGGCATGTGCTTAAATTCCTTGTTAGTGGCACAAGTGCCACATATAGTTGGTGGCGTCAGTGTTGGCACCCGGCAGGGGTGGGGCCCTGGTTGCACAGCCTCTCAGTAGATGGCGCTCATTCCTTGAGCGTCGGTGGGTGGCACTGTGGTGCCCCTTAAATTCAAATTCAAATTCAAATTTCAGACAGTTTATTGATGAGCAGCAGCCTGAGCCAGACTGATGTTGATGGTTTTGGTAACCCAGGTGACTACTGCTATTACTACTACACATTTACCACGACTAGTACGCTATTATTACTATTACACTATTATTATTACTGCTACGCAACAACAATTACTACTACTACTACATAACTGCTATTACTACTACTACTACACAGTAGCTACTACGCAACTGCTGTTACTACTAATACAGTTACTACTACTACTACTACTACTACAAGGGGATCTAGGCAGGCTGAAAGCCTGGTCCGACAAATGGCTCCTGGAGTTTAACCTCAGCAAGTGCAAAGTTATGAAGCTTTGGGAAGGACAAAGAAGACCGCAGACGGAGCAGAATCTAAGAGGTCAGAGGCTGCAAAAATCAGTCTGGGAAAAGGATCTTTGGGTGAGTATAATACCGAGCACATCTCCTGAGGCGCACCACAACCAAATAACTGCTGCAGCATATAGGCGCCTGGCGAACCTAAGAATAGCGTTTCAACGCCCAAGCAAGGAGTCATTCACGACACTGTACACCGTGTACGTCAGGCCCATACTGGAGTATACAGCACCAGTATGGAGCCCACACCTGGTCAAGCACGTCAAGAAATTAGAGAAAGTGCAAAAGTTTGCAACGAGACTAGTCCCGGAGGTGAGGGGTTTGCCTTACGAGGAGAGGTTAAGGCAACTCAACCTGAAAACACTAGAGGACAGGGAAAACATGATAACCACATATAAAATACTGAGAGGAATTGATAAGGTGGGTAGGGACAGAATGTTTCAGAAACGTGACACAGCAACAAGGGGTCACATCTGCAAACATGAAAACTCAGATGAGTCACAGGGATGTCAGGGAATGGTTCTTCAGTCATAGAGTTGTCAGTCTGGAGAGTGATGTATTAGAGGCAGGATCCATACATGGCTATGAGAAGAAATATGATAAGTCTCATGGAGCAGGGAGAGAGTGGACCTAGTGGCTACCAGCGAACAGGAGGTGCCAGAAACTATGAATCGACCCATGCAACCACAATTAGGTGAATACAGTTACTAGTACTGAACGACTACAGTTACTACTACACTATTATTACTACTACACAACTATTACTACTACTTATACCATACATCTGTCACTGCTACACAACTACTGTTACTACTACGTAACTACTATTAATACTAATACATCCACTGAGGTCACTGCAAATCTCCAAGCGGATATAAACCAAAATGTTCAATGATAACAAATTTCAGTTACTCCGTTATAAAAAACTTTAGGAAATAATAGCTAGAACAGAGTATGAAACCAATTCTAACTGAACAATAGTGTTAACAACCAATTTGAAGGACTTGAGAGTGATAATGTAAGAGGATCTCGCCTTCAAGGATCACAAGTGTCAGACTCACATCTGCGAGGAAAATGGTAGAATGGATAATGAGAACCTTCAAAACAAAGAATGTCATGGCACTGATGATCCTTAAGTCACTTGTTCTCTCTAGGTTGGAACACTGTTGTACACCAACAGCCCCATTCAAGGCAGGCGAAATTAAAGATCTAAAGAATGTACAGTAAACCTTTACTGCATGTATTATTAGTTCAGTCAAACACCTTAATTACTGGGAACGTTTGAGTCCCTTGACCTGTACTCCCTGGAACGTAGATGAGAAAGATACATCATATCTTGCCTCTTATCATATCTTAATCTACACCTACAAAATCCTAGGGGGACTGGTGCCAAATCTGCACACAGAAATCACTCCTTATGAAAAGAAAAGTTTCAGCAGACGGTGTAACATACTCCCTATGAAAAGCAGGGATGTCATGAGTACATTATGATAAAATATACTAAGTATCAGGGGCCCAAGACTGTTCAATAGCCTCCCATCATACATAAGGGGGATTACCAACATATTCCTGCCTGTGTTCAAGAGTGCCAGATGAGCCGGGCTGCAGCTCGTACGTCGGATTGCGCGCAACAAGCAGTAACAGCCTGGATGATCATGCTGTGATCCACCACGAGGCCTGGTCGAGGACCAGGGCTCGTGGAGGATTAGTGCGTGAGATCAGTGCCAGCGTACTCATCTCACACACTGAGGTCCGGGAGTCGATTTCCGGTACGGTGGAAACACTAGAACGTGTTTCCTGAAGACACCTACTGTCCATGTTCACCTAGCAGTGAAACAGGTACCTGGGTGTTAGTGGAGTGGTGTGGGTCGCATTCTGGGACAAAATTTACTTAATTTGCCAGAAATGCTCTGCTTAACGAGCAGCTTTCTATATAGTAGTTTGTTATTGATGTCAGCTAGGCCTGTATACCTTGTGCATGTACTTGTAGAAATAAAGATCTGATATCAGCAACTATAGGCCTGTTAGTATACTCAGTGTAATATCCAAAATTCTAGAGAGGGCGGTGTACTGTCAAGTAGTTAAGTATCTTAATGACAACAACATTCTTCATAGTTACCAATCAGGCTTTAGGAGCTCTTACTCAACCGACACCTCCCTAATTAATCTCATGGATTACATGATAACTGAAATGTCGATAGGGAACCTCATAGGAATGGTAACCTTAGACTTGCAAAAGGCCTTCGATACTGTCAACCACAATATATTATATAAGAAACTTCAAGCTATCGGCATAGGTTCCATAGGTTGGTTTAAGTCCTAGCATAGCAATAGGACACAGATTGTCAAAATCAATAAAACAGAATCAGAACCTCTGCCGATAGCATGTGCAGTTCCTAAAGGTAGTGTTCTGGGTCCCTTCTTATTTCTATGTTATGTAAATGACATGCCTATCAGTGTTAAGTGCAAACTCCTACTGTATGCAGATGAGAGTGCTCTGTTAGTGTCAGGTAAAGACCCACAAGATCTAGCTATTAATAACACTAGAACTGGAGTCCTGCAGCAAATGGTTAGTAAACAACAAACTATTACACCTCGGGAAAACGGAAGCCATATTCTTTGGCACGAAACATAAGTGAGAAGAGTAAATAATTTTAATGTCTGGTGTAATTAGGAACCCATCACTTCAGTTTCCTCAGTAAAATATCTGGGAATCCCCTTTGACCCATGCATGTTAGGAGAATTGATAGGGAACATTGTAGTGAAGAAAGCGAATGCCAGACTGAAGTTCCTCTACAGACAAGCACAGTGTCTACCTACTGAGGCTCGCAGAACGCTATGTCTAGCCCTTATACAATGCCGTATGGACTACGCTTGCTCTTCATGGTACTCTGCCTTGATAAAAAAAAACTGAAAGATAAACTACAAATCACCCAGAACAAAATGGTAAGATTCATCCTGGACCTGGGTCCAAGAGAACATGTAGGCCAGGATGAATTACAACAATTGGATATGCTGAATACTGAAGAAAGAGTAAAACAACTAAAGTTAAATCAAGTTTATAATATTGCTCACAATAAGTGTCCAGAATATCTTGCTGCCAATTTTGTCAAGGCTGGGAACCAAAGCAATCACTAGTACTAGAGGGAGAGCACAAGTTTGTAGTACCTACAGTCAGTGGCCAGGCTTCAAACACCTTTCATTGCACAGCAGTAAAGGAATGGAACAGATTGCCTGCACCTGTCAAAGCCAGTCATAGCATGAACCAGTTCAAGAAGAGGGCCAGAAGGTACCTAATTAATGTAGCGACAGAAAGGAAGGAGAATGTAAATGTAAATAACTCTATTTACGTTATTCCTAGTATATATCCTTTATAGTATAATAATAAAATATCTCCTACATTGTATAATAATAAAGTATTAAAAAGACCCCAATCCCGGGCCGGGATCCATACCGGCAAATCAAATAGAATAGAATAGAATAGGACCCCAATGGAAATAAGTCACTGTGACTTTATTGGGTTATCCCAGGTTCTCTACACATATATTGCTATGTATGATAATCTGTGTAACTGTATTTGTGTAGATCTGAATAAACTTACTTAATTAATAATCAGATGTTACAAAATATTTTAGTTACTCATACAAATAACTCTACATTTACATTTTCTTTAAAGTAACTTTTGCTTCCATTTTCTGTAGCTACTTTATATGTACCATGACTCAAACATTTTTGGTCAGGGGGCTACCAGGTTGGTGTTTGAACTAAATAAGTTTATTTAGGAACAGGTACACATTAATACAATTATCATACATAGTAACATATGTGTGAATTACCTAGGATAACCCCCCAACCCAGAAAGTCAAAATGACTTAAGAGCATAAGAATATAAGAATGGAGGAACACCGAGAAGGCCTACTGGCCCATAATGTAGTTCTCAGTTCACAGTAAAATGAACGAATGAAAGCTTGAGGTGTGAGTGTACTGTAGTTTGAAGCGTGTGGACATGGATTTAGTGACATGAAGCTATAGTTAAGGGCAGTATGGTATACATTTGATATACCTTTGATGAGTTTCATTTGTCTTCCCACTCCCGGAGCCCGGCCATGGGCCAGGCTAGTAAGTAAGTAAGTAAGTAAGTTTATTCAGGTATACACAAATACAGTTACATAGAATTATCATACATAGCAGCATATGTGTAGAGAACCTAGGATAACCCAAAAAAGTCAGACAGAGTGAAATGAAGTGACCACATGACTTGAGGTGTACTTGTCTTCCTGACAGACTCTTCAGGAGAGTGAGCGGCAGCGTGCAGGAGAGCTGAGGAGGCTACACGAGGAACACGAGGCTGCCGTCACCAAGATACACAGAGCCAACAAGTCTGAAGCAGCAAGACTGGTGAGCATTGTTACCCGTCAGTGTTGATGACTGAGACGTGTGTGCCACTTGGGTATCTTTACTGCAGAAAGGCTTCGCCACCCAATACAGAGAATGTTACCAGAGACGGTGGAGATAAAGTAATTCAAGGTGATCAGTCTCTTAGCCTTGATAGATGGTCAGTATCTTAGTTTAATGTGAAGAAATGGTTTAGAAAACTGACAGGTTTAATGCCGAGGCATCAGGCCCCTGGTGGGTCCAGCTCACCTGTGACCTACTTCCATTAGTGGGTCCAGCTCACCCGTGACCTACTTCCACTAGTGGGTCCAGCTCACCCGTGACCTTCCACTAGTGGGTCCAGCTCACCCGTGACCTCATCTCAAAGCTTTACACCTTACTTCCGGTTCCGGCAGAGAGACTATCTTCTGTCATGGCTGAGGGACTGATCATCTCAAATGAAAACCAAGAAAAATAGGTCATGAAGTCGAAGCGTTCGGTTCCCAACCGAAAGGTCCTAGACCCAACTCTTAGTAAGGGGCGTATGGGTACGATTTCATAAACTTGCTGCCCCTGTTCACCTAGAAGTAAATAGGTATCTGGGTGTTAGTATATTGTTTGTGGTGGCATCCTTGTGGTGGTATACCATGCTTAGGGTCAGGTTTTGGAATGGACTGAGATGGGATAAAAACTCTTAGCGGTTGTTCATTGTTTTATGAATAGTTATATTTAACATTGCTCGTTGATTTCAGTATACTCTTCTAAATATTAATAACAGCGTAGAATTCGTGATATTAAATAGAGAGAAAGGACGCATTTGAACATAGGATCTGCCTAGTATAGGCCAGTAGGCCTGCTACAGTGTTCCTCGATTCTTATGTTCTTATTAACCTTTATATACTTGCCTTTGCAGTTGGATGAGCTTCGAGCTAAGGAGCGCACTATTGGTCAGTTGGAGCGCCAGGTGAGCGCTCAGTCTGCTAAACTCCGTCAGCAGGAAGAAAAGGTAGGTGCAACTCCCCTCTCTTCCTAGGCACAAGGTTCAAATCCCGCGGTGCCCAGTCATCCACAATGTTCGTGCTAATTGTATGTATCTAGCTATGTAAACAGCGTCATGGATTTAAAATGGCTAGGTTCATCTATCGCCTTCAGTAGCTGTGTCTTTGTGGTGGTGGACTGATCATGTGTTTTTATGATGTGAAGACTATATTGGGTATTATGTTTTCAAAACGACAGTCATATGTTCCCTGCCAGCTGCTTGCTGTCTTTGCAAGCAACTTAGTTCTGTTTATCAAAAGATAAGCAACAAAATAATGTATATCTAGGTTTATCTCAACTGCGTGGAAGCATCTTGTCTAAAAAAAAAAAAGAATTAGGATTCGCGAAATCGTAATAAGAACATTCCAAACAAATCACAAACGGGTGGGAATCGAACCCATGGCAGGAGCGTTGTGGAACTCACAGACCAGTCTGCCTGGCTACTTTACCTCACTGATTTCAAAATTTTATTTTTGCCTCTCATTACGCCTTTTTTGCTTATCTCGCTACATTACTACTGGTGGTGGGTTGCCAAGCTAAGAAATTCCTCCGATAAAAACTGATTAAATCTCGTTCCCCAGGCGTTGTATGACCTTTATGTGATTTTTCAGCTTTTAATTGTTTACTAGAGACTTTTCAAAACGTCACTGTTATGCACAATATATAATTTGCAAGTACTGAAAAAAAGGTTTGCTCTGATTATTAATCTGCAAGTATGATGATTCGTCTGCTAATGCTACTTAACTCCTGCTGGGACAATCACTTGCTCTACTTGCTACTCCTCGGGATTCCCTGTCTAGTTTTTTGTAGGTTAATCTTTTTTAAAATATCCTGGACGTGCTCATACGTAGCAACAAGTTTCTTGTGCATGTGCCACACAGTCATCACTACCCCCGCTGCTCACGTTGGACTACGTGCGGCCAACAGTAACAGCCTCGTTGATCAGGCCCTGATCTGGTCATGGACCGAGCCGCGGGGGCGTTGATCCCCGGAATACCCTTCAGGTAGACTCACTATACCATAAGTCACTACAACTACTCTACCTTAGATATTATTACGCATTACTTGACCCTCAGCAACATCTACCACAGACATTTCTTGTGGTTTACTCCACCTTGGGATGTATACTGTGGTATTTCCTGGCTTCCCTAGAGAGGCACAACATGCTGGCCTGGAAAATGGTATATAAATTTGTTTGGCTAGTGTGTGTAGTATGTTTATTAATAATAAGTATTTCTTTCCTCGTGCTCTATTTCACATGACACTTGGAAAATTACCAACATTCGCACCTCAGCCCTGCCTCGCCTCTCAGCCCTGCCTCGCCTCTCAGCCCTGTCTCGCCTCTCAGCCTTGCCTCGCCTCTCAGCCCTGCCTTACCTCTCAACCCTGCCTTGCCTCTCAGCCCTGCCTCGCCTCTCAGCCCTGGCTTGCCTCTCAGCCCTGCCTTACCTCTCAGCCTTGCCTCGCCTCTCAGCCCTGCCTTACCTCTCAACCCTGCCTCGCCTCTCAGCCCTGCCTCGCCTCTCCCGCCCTGCCTCGCCTCAGCCCTGTCTCACCTCAGCCCTGCCTCGCCTTTCAGCCCTGCCTCGCCTTTCAGCCCTGCCTCACCTCTCAGCCCTGCCTCGCCTCTCAGCCCTGCCTTACCTCTCAACCCTGCCTCGCCTTTCAACCCTGCCTCGCCTCTCAGCCCTGCCTCGCCTCTCAGCCCTGCCTCGCCTCTCAGCCCTGCCTTACCTCTCAACCCTGCCTCGCCTCTCAGCCCTGCCTCGCCTCTCAGCCCTGCCTCGCCTCTAACGATGTTCTTAATGACAAATCATGACCCGTGGGGCTGAAAAGTGTGTAAAATTTTAATATTCAGCCGTTTTTTCTATTTGTCACATCTGACAGTATATATTTTTTTAGCCGTTATTAAAATCTACATTTGTGCCTAGTCTCCCCTAATACGTATCAAGTATGTGTGTATTGGTGTGTTGTGTTGTGTGCTCCAGCGCTCGACTGTTGGACTGGTAGCTGTCATAGTCTAAGCATCTTTAGTGTCCGGGGACGAGAGTTCTATCACCAGACTTTGTTCAAACAGAAGGCGTTCCGCAAGGTTGTCTTCTTAACACAACTGACAGCTGTCATATTCTGAGTCTGACTCCAGCAAACTCTTCTAAACGGGATACGGCAGCTCCTTACATTTGAGATTTGACTTGTGGTAATCTACTCCACTTGTCATCTAGACATTTTACAGGTACGTTACCTCTAATCGTTTCCAGGGGAGTCACCGCCCCATTAGTCCGCTCCCAGACCAGGTCTCCCGATTGCTAGCCTAATCGTCCAAGCTATTGCTGCCAGCAGTAATTTTAGCTTAGCACTTTCACATAAATCTATGTAACAATACTATGACATTCAACTTGTACCGGCATCAGGGAGTTTCGTACCTTTCAGCTCCTATTAATTCATCTTTCCTACATGCTTTTTTAGTTTGCTTTTAAATATAAAAATATAATTAATTCAATAATGTCGTATCCTTGTCTTATGCGTGGGAAGAGCTATTGTCAACAGTTTTGAGTATGCGTGGAAAGACAGCTATTGTCAACAATCATTATCATTCGTGGGAAGAGCTATTGTCAACAGTTTTGAGTATGCGTGGAAAGACAGCTATTGTCAACAATCATTATCATTCGTGGGAAGAGCTATTGTCAACAATCCTGATCATGCGTGGGAAGAGAGCTATTGTCAACAATACTGATCATGTAACTGCTGAGGCAAGGTTAATCCGTCTCAATTACTTAGGTGGGTTGGTTTGGTCCCCACCCTGCAATCAACTTCCATCCCTATTATTTGTCAGATCTGTCTTACAGGTAGTCTCATTCAAAAATATAATTGAGTAGTAGTGGTTGTAGCCGATGGTGGATTTGTGGTGGTGGCCGGTGGTGGAGAGAGTGGTAGTGATGGTGGTGGAGAGAGTGGTAGTGATGGTGGTGGAGAGAGTGGTAGTGATGGTGGTGGAGAGTGGTGGTGTTGGAGAGCAGGGTGGTGTGGCCACCTTCACCACACAACAACGCTGCCTCCTCCAAGGAATTTAGAAAGCTACTCTCATTCTACTTTTTTTCCGGTAAAAAATGGGAAAATGCTAAACATTTGCTAATTGGACTATGATGGGGATCCCCTAGAGTGCTGCTATAGTTTCCTCAAGCTCTGCTGGATTCATCTCAGGCTCTGCTGGACCTATCTCAGGCTCGGCTCGCCATCTTCGGACTCTCCTCAGCATTCCTGGTGCTCTCTTGGCTCTTCAGTGCTCTGATTTCATGGTATACAAACCCATCCTGCTAAAGCAGACGTTGACTTCTTATATACGATTTTAAGGAAATTTCTCGATACACTTTATTTAACTTATGTTTGGATAGGTTAAGTTAAGTGTTCTCTATAGTAAAAACAAACTACAATCAATGACAACACACAACCTCAATAGATGCAATAATGCATAAAAGTAACAGAAAATTTTGATCCTCCAGCAGGAAACTTGGACTCACCTAGCAGACTGTATAACAGTCAATCACTTGTTTTTATCCTAGTGGCACACTCACACATTTTAGGTTTTATTCAAAGATGACTGCCTTTGATTAATGGGATGGTGTGGGTGCTGCTGTCAGGCCTTGCATGATCCACCCAGATAGCTGATTGCCTTCCTGGCATATTGTTAGAAGTGTTTCATGTTGTGGCTTGATGGTTACTTTGTAAGGTCTCAGTTCTGCAGCTAAAGTTCTGTTTGAGCTGGAGTTGAGGGCTCCAGGCTGGCTCCACGTACTCTAGTACACAACTTATGCCGGGAACAATGATTTGAATGCCTCCTCCAGATTCCTTAAACTTCTTATTTTTGCAAGCTTGATGTATTCCACTGATGTTTTGTGAGTGCGCTTCAGATGAGAGGTAGTGTGTTTGTCTCTCTCTGAGTCTGTAAGATGCCTCCCTCTGGCCCACTTTCTGATCCTATCATCTTAACTCTGCTTTTGTTGGGTTTGATTTCCAGTAACCACTTTGTTGAACTATTCCTTCATTTTATTAATATTTTCTTTTTTTAGAGGATAATGCGGTTCTGTTATGCTTATTAGTTATTTGCCAACAATGATACGCAAGATGCATAAATCAGGAGCAGCAGAAATGAACATTGTGGTACACCCTTGTAACTGTTATCCTAACACCTCTCTGATTCTTTGTCTTATGATAAGTAATCTCTTATCTTTGAAGTGTTCCAGTCTCTCCAGTCTGGAGTTCTAGTTCGTATATTCTCCTGTGATTACATATTTGTAGTTACAGGAGCATTATATTGTTATTATTAATTACTCTTTGGAATTTTCCCCTATGATGTGACTTACTAGATTCGACTATTACTCAGGAACCTGCTTACTGCTAGATGAATAAAGGCAGCAGGTATAATGAGCCTTGCCCATACACGTGCGAGTGTATGTGTATTTACCTTCATGTATATGTACGTATGCGTACATGTATCTACTAATGTATGTGTGCATTCACGTGAACGTATGTACTCACCTATTTGTACTCACCTATTTGTGGTTGCAGGGGTCGAGTCCTAGCTCCTGGCCCCGCCTCTTCACCGATTGCTACTAGACCCTCTCTCTCCCCGCTCCATGAGCTTTATCAAACCTCGTCTTAAAACTGTGTATGGTTCCTGCCTCCACTACGTCATTTTCTAGGCTATTCCACTGCCTTACAACTCTATGACTGAAGAAATACTTCCTATTATCTCTCTGACTCATTTGTGTCTTCAACTTCCAATTGTGGCCTCTTGTTTCTGTGTCCCCTCCCTGGAACATCCTGTCCTTGTCCACCTTGTCTATTCCACGCAGTATTTTATATGTCGTTATCATGTCTCCCCTGACCCTCCTGTCCTCCAGTGTCGTCAGGCCGATTTCCCTTAATCTTTCTTCATAGGACATTCCCCTTAGCTCTGGAACTAACCTT